GTGAAGAAATTTGATTGCGTTTCTTTCTGATTTCTTCTTTCAATTTTTTTATTTCCACCTCAAATAAGAAAGATGAGAAAATATATTTTAGGACCACGTAAAACTTTGCAACATTAATGATAAGAAATAAAGGAAGTTACTTGTATATGCTCATTTGTAGGATTTTGTGCAGCCTCCTCAGATAATCGTTTCAATGAACTCATGTGAAGAGCAACTTCACCATACAATATTTTATACTGCTCACTCAGAAGGTCAATTTCATCAGAGCTTTTTATGCTGGCCTGATAAAAGTTAAATGACAACGGAAGCAAGTAAGAAGTTAGTAGCACACAAACATGAGCTCCTACAAAACATGGAGTGAAATTTAGAAGCCACATAAATCACAAATCAATAAGAGAACAGTCTTAATTATATGACAAGTACCGTAGAACAAAGAGAAATGAAAATTCCTCCAACCATACCAGTGGAGTCTCTTCCCCCAGTAAATCATCCTCAGGGCCAAACAATTCTCTAATGTGTTTCCCATCAGAAAAGCGATCAACAGAAGGATTGCTTTCTGTGAGCAAAGCATTCGAATTTCTTGGATCCACGTGAATGTTTGAGCTACCTTGAGGAGTTGATGGACTGCTAGTTGATTTAACTCCACTTGATTTGTCACTGGAGCTTGCCAAGGTCCCAATACCATTATCACGTTTCTAGGAGATTATTCAAAAAAAAAAAAAAAAGACAACCCCAGTTTATCAAATGCTATAGATTGAACCAAGGAACACAAAATTGAAATAAATTACAAGAACAGCAGCTCACTTAAATGCTAAAACAATAAAAAGTAAATCATACATACCCGTAACTTTAACCAGCTCAGCAATCCATTTTTCTTGGTCCTTTTTTCTTCTCTAATTTTCTCGTCAGTGGTTTCAGCACTGCCGTCAAGAGAAACATACAGCTCCATATTTTCATCATCATCCAAGATCAAGTCTCGTTTTCTATGTGGTAGATAAGCAAGCTGTCGTAAATCAAATGAAAGTAGCAGATAGTCATTAAAAAATGCCAAACACATAGAATTTAGGTGTTCGCCAACCCATTGGCATATCCAGTTGTGTAGCTTAATGAAACAAGAAATGCGTTTGAGGGGTGAGAAAGAGAGACCTCTTCTTCTCCAAAAGAATGTCTTCTCCTCATTCCCGGACGGTGAGGAAATCTAGAAGATTGTGGAGCTTTTGTAGACACAAGAATTAGCTTTGTTAGCCTCTGTATTCTGCCCATTAAAGCAGCTTTAGCTTCTTCTTCTTCTTCCAGTCTTGACTGCAGTCGCACTTGACCATCTTCGAGCTATAGGAGTCGGACCACCAAAAAGAGGTGCAACAAGTTAATACATAAGACAATTTTCTCAAGATGGCAAAAGCAAATAAATGGTTTCTGATAAATTTGAGTGCGAGCATTATGGATGAACTATTGCATAGGGAAGCAAGCACAGTAATATATTGCCACTTAGGAAAAGTATAGATAAAGATACTGTAAACTACTATGACAATATAAGATGTTTAGAAAACAAGTACAACTCCACTGAATTCTAAGCTTTGGCACGGGGCAGGTTAGAGTGCATATTCTAAAGCATGTAGGTTTCAGGGAATATGAAGATTAATTGGTCATCCATCACTATTAGTTTGCTTCATACGACAATATAGGTCTGAAACACCATAAGATAGGGGTCAAGGCTCAAAGGTTCAAAACTAAATGAAAATTAATAATTCCTAACCAATTTCCGATATGACTGAAAAAGTCATAGCAACAATTCATGGGTTCTGTGAGGCAGGTAAATTAGCAGAATATTATGCCTAAGTTGGTAATAGTAAGATGCAAAGACAAAAAGGAAAACAATAATTTTCAGTTGAATAAAAGTCTTTTTGTATTCAAGCGTGGACGTGTCAAATAAAGCTCCTTATTAAATCAAAAAAATTTTATCCTACCACAGAGTAGTGCTAGTAGCTGATGAAAGACTTGTATGCAGTATGATGCCAAAAACCAAATCATTACAAGGATACCTTCCTGCAGAAGAAGATGCTGTTCAAGAAAATTTATTTAAATAAGAGAAAAACTACCTTCTGTTTTAGAAGCAGAATATCCCCATTTCCATTGTCTTTCATCGGGGAAACTGTAACTATGCCTCTTTTCAATTGTTCCAGTTCTTCCTTTAAACAAAGAATTTCTTGTTGGTACTTTTTTATAAGTGATTTCTCATCGATTATCTGCGTGTTCAAAGAAAGCAGGAATGCATTAATGGGAGCTCAAAAGAGAGCACTTCATCATGATATGTTTAATTGATGATACCTTGTTTTGTGCTGCTTGAATTTCAATATGTTTTGCTCTATGGGCAAACTTCAATGTGTTATGTGTCTCCTCAGAATTGCTTGATGAGGGTGTTACAGTGCAGATCAACTGTTTCAAACACTTACATAAGTAAGACTGTATATGTCCTTTGGATAAAAGCTAGAAAAAAGCATCACCATAAATTTAATGGACAAAAAGTCATAAAAAAAAGTCATCAAACTTGTACAAAAGTGAACTTTTGGCAAAAGCTAGAAAAAACTACCACCAAATAATATTCGTCAAGCTTCCAACCCACAAGGCCACAACATATATCTAAGATGTATCTCACCTTCTTATAAGCTCAAAAAATGCCTGACCAACACATCACTTTTATTGTTGACAAAGAAATTACACATGTATATACGTATAATAAATATTAGGCTAGGGTCCTTACGGATACACGGCCATGTCCACTGAGTGAGGACTGGAGAAGCCTCGTCAATTTGGAATCTCTGTATGGTATATGTGAAGATCTGCCATCCGTCAATTTTGAAATAACCTATTGATGCCACAGATAATATGATCATCAACAAACATCAGGTAAGTTTCCAAAGATAAAATAGAGAGGATTAAAATCTCAGATGGGCTGAAGCTGAAGAACTACATTACTAATCACGGGAAAAGGAATGTTAGAAACTGTATTTGCACAACATTCAATGCGAGAACAGTGGAAACATATGAAACTGCACAAAAGCTTTGCCCTTGGAATAGCACGCAAGTTATATAGCAGACGTGTCCATTGATGTTCAGGCATGCGTACACATATGTAATAAAAATTAAAATAAAACAAAATAATACCGATAAAAAATAAATAAATAAATAAAATAAAATAAAGCCACAAGGATATGGCCTCACAGTTCCAAGAGTTAACAAGCTCTTATTAATATAGGATCCCTCTTTTCTGCGCAAGCCTGTTGTTCCAGCCTTTGAACTCTCAGAACCTGCCAAGTCAATTAGGTTCTGCAAGAATGATAGGAAACATGTCAATAAAGTTACCTAGGAAATCAACATCATCAAAGTGAAAAGCAAATGTTACAGACTCTTGAAATCATAGTCATATGTATCCATGAGTAGATATATACCAGCAGTGACAGGGTAACCGCTTCACCAGCAGAGTTGTCACCACAAGGGCTACTCTCTATGGTCTGCGGAGCAAACATATTTACAACACCGTCAGTTGAACGATATAGCAAGTACAAAAAAAAGAACTAAATATGCAATCAGTGTAATTTCAGACTAAGCAAATACTGACATACCAGAGTGAAGATTGTATGACTTCTACTGCTTTGTAAATTGAAGTTTGTCGAACCCACATGTCTGTGCTCTATGCAACACAAACAGTAAATTTTAACGCAAGAAAAGGGGATGCAGTGAAAAAAACCAATTAACTCTTAAATTCACAAAATAAATAGATAATGCTTTAACCTTTGAAATCAAAACATCAGTGTGAGTCTACACTAGGGGTGACTCTAGACAATGATATAGTAAAAGAGGTAAATTAATAACAACAAGAAAAACAGTAACTCTAGTACAGCTTTTAAGGCCATTGTGAACTGCTTGGAAATTTAAATATAGGACCCTTAATATTGAAGTAAAAGGGAACGCAGTCTTCAGTCAAACGGTAAGCCCAATGCTTGAAGAAACAACATTTCTTTTTTTCATATTTAGCATTCAATAAAGAAAAATTTGGGTTATTCAGTGTAATGGATTAATCACCAAATCCATACAACATTGAAGGGTTTGCATTCAGTAACGACTCATCTGATGCTACATTAAAGATGGTCTAATTTTACCTTCGCCTGCTGCAATAAGAGAGAGGGCGTGAGCAGGGGATAATACAACTTCCTCTTTAACTCCTTCAATAAAGACTCCCTGCAAGCAATCAGGTAAAGTGAACCGATTTACCAGTAGATAGAGAAAAAGTTATGGAGCTGTCAATAAAATTTCAAACTAAAGAACAATAATACTATTGTGGCTAAGTGCAACTTGTGGACTCAGTCTGCAACATACACACACATACGCACATGCTCAAACACTGCAACAGATCTCTCTTGGTCACACTACTCTTTGTCCAACAAACATAACTGAGTCGCGTCAAGTTTTCTCCATCTCATCCAATATCTATATTAACATCTGTGATTCACTTGTCCATGCCTTATTCTATGTCTCCCAACTTTACAAAATAGAACCCTATCCTATTGAGCCTACTCTACATCCAACCCCACTCTCTACCATGCATTAACGAAACAGATGGTCCAAGGAACTCTATTGCAGTGACACACTAGAAATGCTATCTAATCACTAATGGTTTACAAAGTGCCTTTGTAACACTCAATGTGCATCTCTACTTCATTGCATCATCAAACCATTGACTAGCTAACCTATTTCAATTTCCACTGCATATCCTACGACACTCGAGCATGACCAATCATCAATACTAAGATTCATCATCAGTTTGTTTATTCCAAAAAGAAGAACAGAACACAAAGTAACCCATTATATAGTCAAAAATTGATCTACCAGAGAGAAATAACAGAAACCAAACAAAATAAATCCTGAATTCCAATAGAAGTGATGATTATATAACCACATGACTTATCACCTGCGAATCTTCCCTAATTCTCAAATTCTGCCCAGCTGGATTCAACAAATCGTTGACAACCTGAAATCAAATATGTCTTAAAGAGCAGTTTCTTAACATTCTCATTTTCCAAGGGAAATCTAAACATAAAATAGAAAGAAAAGAAAGCTAAGTGCACAAAAACACAAAAATCCAGTAAATGGCTGAGTGGAGAAGACTGGCATTGAGACTGATTGTCATGCTACTCTATAACTAATTTAAAATGATGATCAGGTGTATTGCTAAAGTATGGCGCACATGAAATTCAGGTTGACTGGAGATGGTGGCTTTGAACTAGTATACTTCAGTTACATTCTGATATCTGCTATAGGTCCAATTTTCTAATTTCAGATTTCTTAATAACAAACACTCATGTATGATACCACAAATTGAGCACAAGTAGCCATATTCAAATTCAGGAGGTATGGAGTCTTAGGATCTTACTTCATTGTAGATTTCCAAATAAGAGACGCGAAGTAGAAATTCCCGACTTGGAGTCTGAAGCAAAGCCATTAGACATACAATTAACAGCCTGTTCTGGAAATAATACTCACGGGATGCAATATGGGTTTCAAGTACCTCTTGAATAATACTGAAAGCATCTTTCACGGCCAACGGGATGATACCAGGAGATCTCTGATCACCCTATTGTACGAAAAAGGTAGCCATATGATTTTACGAATTAACTTAGTTTTTGTGAGTCGCGAGGAGCAAAGAGATTATGAGATTCAAATAATAGGGAACTTCAAGAAAGCACGCAATGTATGCTGTAGATCAATCAATAAGCTTAAGAATGCACATAGCGCGTCTAAATAGAAGCAGCATACACTATATCTCCAACACAACATTCACAATGCTAACAATCCGTTCTCAAATAAATGCAACTGCTTTGCATAGTGCTAATAATTGTTATTCAGAAAGATTTCTAGGTAAAAACAGTTGACATCTGATCAGTCAGGAAGTACTGCAAAGTATTAGAGATCAACTTCCGGCTTCATTGTGCTTATTTATTTGCTGAGGAAGATGACTGAAGAATTTCAAGGTGAAGACACATAATGTAATAATAACATCACCGGATATACAACCAATGATCAGGATAATGTTCTTAGGACATATGTTGAAATGTGAAAAGGCTCGAGAAACCATCCAGGGAGTTCCCTTACATGCATTGTGTGCGTTTTTCCACTACTAGTAACGCCGTATGCAAAGATGGTACCTGCATTGAGATAAACAAAGAATGAAAGGAAATCATAACACACGGAAAGTAACATTCTATGGTCGAGGACCAAACGCAACAATGCACTGAAGATATTCATCCATTATGAATGAGCCAATCAACCAGCTTCTTAAATTGTATAAAAGACGAATTCAAGACTTATCATACATCACATATGTAAACAAAAAAGCTTAAAGATCTGAATCAAATAACTACTTACCATTGATTCCTTCCATTGCACCATTAACAATGTGTTGTGCAGCGACGTCATACACATGCCTGGTTGTGGTCGTAGGTCCAAATACTCGATCTGGAATTTTTTTTCATGTATTAGTATCAATGAGTCGATGTAGTATATAATTAGAACAACTTTGCAACTTTGTTGGTTTTGCATAGCTAATAATCTCTGACACTTGCGTGTTGAAACATGACTCATTTCTTACCTGAGTGAAGCTGACCATAATATATATAAGCATCGAGAGATGCAAATATAAGCATTATGCATAAAGCAATTTTCAGTTACTTTTGTTAAAAAGCAATTTAATGAGCTTGTTTTAAAGAGTTTTAACCAAGCAGAATTTTCTGTATTCAGTTTCATCATTCACTCTCACATGAAGAGAACTTCATATATACTGTCAGTTTTCTACTTACTCTTTAATTATTGTTCCATCTAAATACATTTCCCTAACCAATACTTATCCCAAATGGGATCCAAAATGGCATCAAAGTAGTGTACAATAATCCGTTTCTAAAACCATACCATACGCATAAGCAATTGACGGGTTATGTTCATTCCTCAGAATAGTATCCCCATCCGCATACCATGCAATCTCCTCCCCTTGTCGAATTTCCCTCGGACTACACATAAAAAGCACCAGAACAATCAGCACACAAAAGTTTGCCAATAATCCGACAACTCAGTTGCACAATTCTTTTGTCTATTTACCTGAGTGGGCGAAACCGCACCGTGACTGTAACATTCTCCTTAGCTCTGTCAGTGTCCAAAGGTACAATTCCTGGGGAAATTGGAGGCTTGCTTCGAGCAGACGAGGATGCAGGCGAGCTCAGGTCATCTGTTGAACGTTCCACAATTTGCCGGGAAGACGACGTCGTTGATGACGTCGGAGAATTGTTGCTGAGTGTTGTCTTCGAACTGGGTCTTTTGGGTTTCAATCCATGTCTAGAAGCCATCAGCTTACCTTTAACAATTACCAGAGCCCAAATCAAAATCAATCAACCAACTTGTTGCTAAATGGAAAAATCCGATAAAAACTAGACAACCCAATTGAAATCTGCAAAAAGAAGATAACCCAGTCCGCAAAGAAAACAAAAAATGTAGCTTCAAAATTAGCTAGAAAACCATAATCACACATGCGTAGCTCCGCACATATCACATTGACATGAAACAGAAAAAAGGGAAAAAATATAAGTACCTAAAATAAAGAACCTCTCTCTTTAGCTCAGTACCAAACAAACATACATACACGCGCATAAAACAAAAACAACTGTCAATTCATATACAAGTGCTCATCGAAATACACAGAGAAAAGCATATATGTATTAAATATTCAGATCTCGACAAGAGATCGGGTGAGCTGCAGATAGAACACCATCGTTATCATTATTCATCGATTATGAATATTCACATTTTCTCTTCTTTTTGTTTCTCTGAGGAAAGGAACCGCTGAAAAGGTAAAAGTGTTTTTTTGAGGGATTATATTAATTGCTTGCCTTTGAAGCGATGCCGTTTTATCAATGGCTGGCAGGCATCTGATTCTATAGTGTTGAAGCAGTTGAACTTCCGGCTCCCATTGGTTTGTTTATTTATTTTTTGATAAAATAAAAAAGAAAAAAGGGAAAACGAAAGGAAAAGAAGGTGAAAAGGAGTAAAGGGCCCACAAAAAAAAAAGGAGTAAAAAAAGGGAAGAAAAAGGGCAATCACTATGGTGCGACTTTCTTTTTTTTTTCTTAAATTTTCCCCTATAATTGATAAAAAATGTTACAAGTACATAATAAATGTATATAGAGTTGTACATAACACTCACATAGAATGGAGTCCACTTGATTTTTTATTTTTGGTAGGTCCTATTAAATGTGAGTGTTATGTACACCTTTATGTACAATATTACATACTTATAGCATTACTCTTAATTGATTTAGCGATTTAGCACTGTTATTCAAGTCGAGCGAGCACTTCTTGTTAGAGTTTTATTTAACGAATAGTTTAGCTCGTAGTAGCTAGAGTGTGTTTCATTTACACTCATGATATCCTGAAGATGATAAGTAATATAGTTATTAATTATTATTCAAAAAAATCCTCTCTCATCTTGAAAACCCTTTTCCCCAAACCAGGAAGCTTCGTAGCCGCAACCAGCCTTCACCTCTTCTCTGCTGCTCAATCCAAGGCGCTACAGCGCCGGCCGTCACCAGCCCGAGCTGCTCGTCCCATTAGGAGTCGTCGCCCCCTCCCCGATGTAGAGGTTCGCCGCACTCGCCGGTCGTCTAAGGGTGGTAGATCGGGTTCAGATTGGCGCCAAATTGGGTCGATCGGCTGGTCCCGGCCTTCTCCGGTGAGGGGGTCGGGGTTGAGGTATCGTCCTTTTCTCCCCTTTTTCAGTTTTAAGGTGTTGTTGGTTGGTGGGGCTGGTGTCTCATGGGTTTGGAATGTGGTCTCGGCCGGTGGTTGGGATGGGGAGCGTCGGTCGGGAGTTGGGGAGAAAGGAGATGTCCTCTGGTGTTGGTCTAGGGGTTGCCTTTCGAGAGAGGGGTTTGGTACGATCGCAGTTCCAATTAGCTGCTTGCTGGAGTTTTTGGTTCGGTTTCTTGAATTGGGTTTCTTTCCCTTGTGCGGACGTCTCTAGGTGTCGAGCATGGGTTGTTGTGGTTTGTCTGCCGGCGAGAGGAGGGTCTTATTCTAGTATTGTAGTATTATAGTGATTGTGTTGTGTAGTGTTTTGGGTTGCCTTGTTGCCCTTTTATTTTATTCTTTTGAGTAGAAGCTCGATTCTCCCGTATGAGACTGTTTCGATTTTTCCGTATGGGACTGTTTAGTTTGTCTGTTTGTGGGTGCGTTAGTGTAGATCTCTAGGCTACCATTTGTGTATGCCTCCATTAGATTCAGCTGGATGATTGCTTGGCTATCCCTAGTTGTATCTAGGTTTGTAATTATGTATCTTTGTTAATCTAATCTATCGTTTCAAAAAAAAAAAAAAAAAAAAAAAAAAAAAAAAGATTATGAATAAGATTTGTGCATTTTCTATTTTGCTCAACTCCGTTGTTCGTTCAAAACTTATAGAAAAATATAAATAAATAAATGAGTTGTTTACGAATTGACTCGTTTAAAAATTGTGTTCAAATTTTCACGAGGCAACTCAAGTTGTGTTCAATAACAGCTCAGTTCGAATAACATCTTTAGTTGTAGCATTATGCTTACAAAATGTTTATTTTTTTGTTAAAATATCACTTATGAGTCGTTAAATAACGATGTTTAACATTTTACTTAGTTACTTTTGCTATCAACACAGTACCTGACTCTAAGAAAGAATTTCACGCTAACAACTAGGTTCACCTACTTAAGTAAGTTGCACATTACTATATTTCATTTGGATTAACTTGATTAGTTGCAAGTGCTGATGACAAGTATATATGGTTGATGATTGATCACTTCAACTTGTTAGTTAAATCACATGATTTTTCAGAGGCCCTTCCATGGGGCAGACAATAATAACAATTAGGTACACTAATTAAAATTATTGGGTCCACATCATTTTCTTTTTATATTTAAAACCTTTTTATTAATTAATACTTAAAAAAAGAGGAGGGAAAATGCAAACTCACAAGTCACAACCTAGGTTATCCACAAATACATAATGCACACAATTAAGTGGAAATTATATAAAGTACCTAACTAAAATGTATAGATCAGTCTTAATTTTGAAACTCACCCTTATGTTTTTAGCTTAATTAAAATGCATTCTGAATTTATTTGTATAAATATTTTATGCAGAAGTGTTTACCTCTATTTTATTTATCTTTATTTATTTATTTTGCACAACCATATTTGTCATGATGGTAGTTTTATATATTTGTATTAGAGCCTTATATTTTGATACAACACACGTGTATTACACGGATGCTTGTTAAAAAAATTATTCTTAATTTTAAATTTAATGATAAAATTATTTTAAATTTTATCTATATTTTTACAAAACATTATATATGATTGTATATTTTAGAATGACACTTGTTACTTGTGTGACTTACATGTGTCATATCATAGTAATTTTTATAACTTATATCATATAACTACTTGAAAATATAAATATATTAAATGATAAATAATTTAATTTTCTAATTAATATTAAAAAATTACTATTGTTATAAATATAAATATAATTTATTTTTTTACACATACAATAAGGATGTTAAATCGAAGTTCACCGTCAATAGATGCTTAATTTGATATATTATATATGTGAAACTAATAAAAAAAATACAAAAGTTATTAACTTTAAAAATATATTTACAATTCAATAGTTATAATAAGAAATGATATTGAAATGCAATTAATACATGTAACATAACCATAAATGATAATCAACATATTTATGGATAATCTGAACCTAATTATTTTTGAATTGAAAGTAAATTAAAATATACCCAAATCAGTCTAATAACGTAGCATATAATTTTGTCACATAGGATCCCAACGCATGGAAATATGTCACTTATGCTCACTACGTTTTGAATTTATATATAGAAGTATATGCCAGGAATAATATTATTTAGCTGTTGACATCACATATATAACTTCTATAATTAACATACATAAAATAAAGTATGATACTTATTTATAATCTGCATAACGACACTTTCATATTTAACATCGATTAGTGCAACTTAAATTGTAACTGTAAAGTCTGTAATTAGAACACATGATTTTCTTAAGTGGATTGCATGTTGTGAATAGCATAAATAGCGACGTCGACGTAACATTTGATTTTGCATCAACACTTAGTTCTATTTGATGTGAGATTACTGACAGGACAAATAATTTATATGCTATATGAGGAAATATTGTTATCATATATGGGTTCTTTTAAGGATATATATATATATTAAATATAAAGATCATATACATAGACCTAAATAATTAACAGATATATCCCCACAATAAATTATTTAACAAGCAACACTGACCAGATATGATGACATCATGGGCATGTACAGACTACCAAACAACTGCTAAAAGTAATCTATATATATATAATAAGATTTACCATTTTTTAAAAATAGCAGTTCAACTTTGGTCAAATTTTAATTAACATTAATTTCTTACTATTTTTAGTAACTTTTTTTATTTTTAATTTTTCAAAAAAATCGGGAAGTGTTGTCCTTACACTAAGGAATCTGTTACACTTATTTGAGGGCATTTGGATAAAGTTTAAGATAAGATGCATGATTTGTTGTATGTTCTATATTTAATTATATAATAATGTTACTTTTTATTCAATTCATTCACGATTACCTCTTCTAAAAACAAACATGAAAATTTCGTAGCTATTTGTAAAATCAAAAAATATTACAACAGTTGGTCATAGAATCAAAAACCTAATATTTAAAACCAAAAAATATTAATAAATGAAAATTTCATAGCTATTTTTTTCTTTTTCAATAATTATAATTTTGGATAATACAACTGTCTCTTTTATTTCTTCCGCAATAGTTTTTTTAAAAATGTAAATTCTATAGCCACTAATTTTGGCTAAATATTTGTTGTTTCCTTTCAAAGTTGATGTGATTATCTTTTACCATATTCATCCGTCATCATATTTAACGTTTTGAATATTGTCTGCAATATTGTCCTGTTATAATTTGATGGCAATTATTTCTTGAATATTTATGATTTGATAGAAAAAATGTTTTTTAATAATAATAAAAAAACTTAAATATAACATCACCTAAATCAAAAGTGTAGATTTAATATAAAATAGTAGTTTTAAGAATTAAACTAACTAAATTCAACAAAATATTTTTAGCACAAATATAAAACTTAACTACTGGTATTTGGAAACAAAATGACGAAACATATAAATTAAATATTTAATCATCATGCATCATGACCAAAAAAAAAAAAGTAACAGATAAATTAAAAGAATATTAAAAACATTGATGATTTTTTAAAAACAAAA